GACTCATCCAGCAGAAGGAACTGATTGATGGAAAAGGGCTTGTTTTGCTGTCTCTGTGCAGCCTCAATTCAAATCATTAAGAACAGTCAACTAATAATAATTACTTTTAACTGGGTTCAGTCCAAGAGCCTCAACAAGAAGCCAGAGGACAGACAATACAGCCAGGAAGTGACTACAACCCTCTCTCCATCGATAATGCTGGCATATCTCATTACTGAGGCGACCTGCGGTACACTGCCACTCGGTCCTGATCATATAAAACCCATTTCAGTGTGCCGTCCACGATGGAGCGCCAGCGTAGTGGGATATTCATTATTCAAATTTTAAGCATTGGAAATCCCAATATGTTACAGAGGCCAGATGAGACGAGATGAAATAGCTTAGCCTTTTGTCCAGAGAGCATTGACTAATAGTCTTGCTCCCCAGAATCAATTTCCCAGCCGTAAGAATCAGAATCTCCTGATTGTACTGTACTGTTGAGGACCCCCCCCCTCCCTCCCACTGCTACCACCTAATACCCCTCCTGGCTGCCCAGAATAACTTATTGATCGGTGATAATGTTACGGGAGGTGCGGGTGGCCAGGGCGGAAGACGGACTGGCCTCAGTCATTCTCAGCAGGGCTAAATTTGGGTCCTCACTGCATGCTGACACAACCTGCCACCAAATAAAATTTCTGGCTGAGAATTAAAAAAACTTTTTTTTTAAAAGTTAGTAATGACTAAAACCATATTTTAGGAGAGATGCAGGACTGGATCGTTTTTTATACACAATTCTGACCTGCTAACGCAAATTTGAGCAAAACTGGATTCCAATTTCAGAACAATTGAGTTAGAGTAGATGTGAAAAACACTCAAAGTTTTTTTTTATGGTCTTCCTGTTGTCAGTTAATAATTAATGTTTGGAACAGAAGCTGTGTCTTATTTTCATGCAATGAAAAAAGAAGGATGGTGTTAGCTCTTAACTCTGAGAATGTTTTAAACATTTGCAAAACAAGAATAGAGGGTAAAAGTGAACTTCTCTGTGCAGCTCTCAGCCTTCCTATTAGTTGTTGATAACCTCTCTTTCTTGTATCCGGAATGAACTGCAGCACAGTTTCCCCTTAAATAGCTTATAGGTTTCTGGTTTACTTAAAAAAACACACCACTGATACTGAAATTAGTTTCTGGATGCAGTTACCTCGCTAATCGAGCGAAATCCAATGTTTGAGTTTCTGGGTGGTTGATCACAAGAAAGATTCAACAGCAAAAAGCCAGATTGCTGTGACCTTTTTGTCTCTCATTACATCTCTATATACATAAGTAAGTCAAGCTCGGGGGTATTTCAAAAAAAAGATTTGAATATTATGTAAGTCTACAGCGTCTACGCAAGTCCAAACCTGCACTGTTTAGAAGCATCCCTTTTCCAACTCTGCTAAATCTAATGAGAGGCTCGTTACAGGGCCTATACTGAACTGAATCACACACTGCAGGAATCCCACAATTAGATTTAGGCATTTTGGAGAAGAGATGCATCTAAAAGATGCAGAATGGTAGCTCTTAAGGACTAGATTTAGGCACCCAGGGTTTAGAAGATACAGCCAAGAAGAAAGAAAACATATTATTTATGTATTAGCCAGTTTTGATGACTAGTCATTAGATTCACTGACTTTGTTTAGGGTCAGCCTAAGGTGATAAGTGTGTCAGAAAATGGATGGATGGATGATCAGGCTAAGAGATGGTCTAAATATTGGCCTGGTAGCCCTTCTCTGTTTGATCCTGTGCTGAGGCTGAAAAGTGGTTGTGATCAATACCTGCAGGCCCTCTGCCAAAGGGCCGCTGGTGTGTGTGTGTATGTGTATGTGTGCTGTGTCAGCATACACTCAGGACTTCATCAAACACTCCCAACACCTTTTCCTCACACGCCGACATGCATTTACAGACACCCACATCGGTCAACGCCCCACTCAGACGCTCATTTTCACTTTCCCCCTTCTTTGCTCAGCAACCTGAACATCTTGCACACACAAATGGACTTGCATACACAAATTTGTCCCAATCCACAGCCATCCCAACAAGGATGTTAAATACCATTGAAATGTCAGCCTCGTTGTATTGATTGGAATAATAACTCTGAAAGGAAGAAGAGATGGCTTGTTGATGCTAAGCAGGTGCATGATCGCTGGAACATCGTTCACTGTCACAGAGTTGCAACGTCAGGGTTTCACGATCCTCTGGCAGAATGTGGATCACGGTTTACGTTCGACCACCGACTCCTTTTATTTCTGTCATCAATCATTGTCCAGTGACAGGCACACCACGATTCATGCTGAGAGTGGGGTCATTCTGAGAAGCCCTCTGATCACAGCTGCTGTGCATGCATGTCAAAACCAGAGCGTATGTTCATCACCAGGGGAGTTTTGCTGTCTGTCACATATGATCGTGGAAAAGGATCTATTATATAATTTACAGGTTCTAGAGTTTGAATGTAGCCAACAGTATTTTCATTGAAATTAGTCTCTGAAGCACTTAAGTGCAAAATTGCAAGGCAAGACTCTTAAAATTTCAATCTTTAAATCATATAATGCACTCTACCACAGAAGAACTCCCCTGAATTCATGTTGGAGCTTTAAATACCACTTCCATAAATGTATGAAAAGCTTATTTAACCGTTTTAAGTACAATTTCAAAGATTAAAATAGAATGAGATGTGAGGCTCTGTGACAACTGCTTTTGTGTTTTGTTCTTCACTTGCGCTATCTTTAACTTTTTTCTTTTAGATCAATTTCAGTTATACATAGGTTATTACTGTTCTTATTTCTTACTTTACTTACTACTTGACAAAGAATAACATTTCAGAGAACATCCATTCATCCATTTATTTTCTGTACCCTGTTAATCTACCTAACAGATAACAGGAAAATAAACTAATTTATCAAAAAGCCAACAGAGACACCGTGCACAGACTCACACAACAGAGGTTTAGAGGGACCAGTTAGCCTAACATGCATGTTTGGGGGCTGCTAATGGGGTGGGAAAAATTAGACAATTTTGAGGTAAAACATTCAAAGCATACATGGAAAGACCAAAAACTGAATATAAATTGGTGGCTGTCTATTTGGGAGGGAAAAGCGCAGCTTTATTTTAACAATAAATCAGCGCTAATCACGGTGCTGCATAGTCAGAACATGATCTTAAACAACTAATAAAGCAGCAAACTGAGGCTGTACCTCAGAAATTATGTTTGAGATAAAGAATCTATCAAAAAATAAATACATCTATTCAGATAATATATATAAGGCATTAATATCAAAGAGGTTTCAGAATGGAACTTGATATTTGCATATTCCCTATTTTTAAAATGCCTTAGATCAGTTTTAATTAAAAAGAAAAAAAAATACAGAAAATGTTGCGACTCTCACATCAATGCTTCTGCTTTTTAAGGTCAAATATTTCTCCAGCACTGTTGTTGCCTGTTAGGTAAAGAAGTAAAGCCTTTTTATACCTTCACATCTGAGAGTTTCACAGATGATCCTGGTTTTAGTCTGCAGAAACACAGAGGTATCTCAAACAACAAATCTCTTATTGAACTATTTAAAGCGTGAGCTAAAAGAGTCTGAAAAGACTCTACATCTAGCAGCAAGAAACTGCTAAGTCTGCAACAGTGTAACCTTATAAGCCTTCTTTCTCGACTTAATCAAGTATTAACATGGTGTGTGCATGTGTGCCGGTTGTGGGTGTGTGTGCGTTCCTGTTTCTGCATCAGGGTAAGAATCATTTCTCAGATTTCACCAGTAAACTGCAAACAGTTTGAAGCAAAGTGAGGACATTTTGCTGGTCCTCAATTCCATTTTGCTAATGGTTGGGTTTAGGACTAGGGAGTGGATTGAGTTTAGGTTAAGGCTGGGTATGCACTGCTAGGTTTGGGGTTATTGTCAGGGTTATAGTATAAAAAGAGTGGAAATTACAGAAAAGCAGTGGGAGCCAATGGGAGTGATATGGTTCCCATTATATATATTCAGCAGGACTAGAATGTGTCTCTGTGAGACAGAAATAAAGATAACAGAGTGTATGGAATGGATTCAGCTGATTTTCTTTAAAAAAAAAGAAAAAAAAGTGACAAAAACAATTATATATGAGCAGGTTTCCAAAACGCTGACAAAGCAAGAATTTTTTTGTTGAAAAAACTTAGATAGAAATTGGCAGGTACCGTTATATCATTTTTTCAGGCAACCAACTTCAAAGTGTTGCATTCTGCAGAGGTGCAACTCTAATGTCCCTTTTATAATTTAGTAGATACTATTCAATAAATTACATAGATATCTTAATTTCTCTGAGTAGTGAATGGGTCAAACAAGATCTCTACTAAATACTGATACTCAATTATTTTTTCTAAATCCATCAGTAATAGCACCTGAAGACAGATATGACTGAATGAATGAAAGACTACATGAAACAACCTTTCTACCTATTAAAAAAGTACATTTCTTCTGATAATCATACATTTTAGGACAATTTGCATGTTGACTAATACCTATTTCTACCCAACCAATGCCATTTTATCTTTTCGCGCTATCATTATTAACTTATATCATTTCATGCATCCATATACTGTAAGTGTAAGTGTTTGCATTGTATTCTCTTGACAATTCTCTATTTATCATTGTAATAAATCCCTATCGTATCTATAAAAATTAACTTTGTTATTGTTTTTATGTATTTTTTTTTAATAAAAACATACTTATTTCTGTGCCTATTGATTTCTAGAGCGATTAGTTTATCTTGTAACTACAGGTAGAGGCAATAAACAGAAATCTTTTTTACATATTTATGGGAGTAATTCCCAACAATTATGAAAAAAAACTACAGGAATTCAAAAGGCATGGGTAAAAATATCTTCCTTTTTTTCCTTTTTTATCAATATATATTATGAGGTATTGAGTTTCTGCTGTCTTTCTTACATAATTAGTCTCTTTTTAACAAACGTGTAAACCAGTGAAAAATAGAAAACAGTTATTCCATACCTTGCAGGAACCTCAATATTGGAGATTGCGTAGAAGTACTTTAGCAGATTATCTCTCTGGACGTAGGTGCCTCCGAGCGCAGGCCGCAGCAACCTCAACCTCAGGTTGGTGAAGGTAAAGAAGTCCCTCAGTCCCTTCATACTTTCCATGCGGGTGTACAGGCTGTCCATATTCTGCAGCCGAGGGCCAGCAAACACAGCAAAGCGGTCCCTCACCTCAAACTTCACGTTCTTATCATTCTTGGAGCCAACCCAGCGCGAGTACTGCTCAGTACAAATGACCCGAGTGAGGTTTGTGGGAGAGAGGTCACGCACTTGTTTGGCCTGCATGTTAAAGGCGTCTTGGCAGTCATCAGCATAGAACTGGTACGGTTGCCAGGACTTCCCGTGGTCCATGGACTTATCCAGAACCATGATTGTGGGACGGCCGTATTCAAACGTGATCTGGATGTCATCGGTGAGCTCCAGACTCTTGTTCCAAGACATGGTGATGTTGGCTAGCAGAGGCTCAGGGTGTCGACCCCAGGTTACTGTCTGCCAATAGGTGATTAGGCCGTTGCGTTCACGGTCCTGCATCAGCTGAGGAGGGTGGGCCAAGTCTGGGTTGGAGGCATCACATTCATCGCTGCACAAGTATGGGTTCTCCTACGAAAGAGATAAAGACGAAGCAGCAAGGTCAGTAAATAACCAAAACATTTGGATCATAATTGGAGTTTGGTCATCTACATCACAATAGTACAGAAAAGCTTTAAATGTAGTAGAGTAAGTATCAGTGAAGGAAAAAAAGCTTTAGTAGTATTAGGTACAATCCTTTAATCCAAAGCAATATAATCTCTTACTAATAAATTTGCTCTAAAATGTCCAAAAGTCAGTCGTTAGTTTATAGAGTTTGGAATCCTGAGGTTCTGAGTTTGAGCTCCACTCCCACAGACTGCCACTCTAGGTCTCTGACCAAGACCCTTAACCCCACAGTGCTCCCCGGGTGCCGCACAATGGCAGCCACTGCTCCCCAAGGGGATCGGTTTAATGCAGAGAATTCATTTTCATTGCTTTGTGCTTGTGACAGTGTAACAGCAATAAAACCTGAAAGAAAAAAATTATAAGATCATTTAATCCAAATCAAGCAATATAAGCGGGGTAGAGTCTGCCAAGCAACTGAACTGGTCTTAAAGGTTAAGATACTAAACAACTGAAGATGGAGTGTGAAGGTCAGGGGGACTGCATGGACAGCAGAGTGTTGCAACACTTTAACTCTAAAGAACTGATCCTCCACTTCAACTAACGCCAAGACTTTGAAACTACTGCCCCAGTACAAACATAAAAAAATCATCAGGATTATTACCAGATCCACACAAGCCTCCTTTCATCTGCACAAAGAGATGACTTTTGTTCTTATTCTAAAATGTTTGTACACCATAAATAAGAATTTAATTTCCCTTCTAATGCAACTGGAAGTTAAAAAGATGTGTTTAAGGATTGGTCTGTCTATGAAGCTTCATGTGGTTTCTGTTTAACTGGGAGAGTATATCGACAGTCACGACTTAGTTAATTTAATTATTGTACTTGGTAAAAGGTTTATCTTTAAAGCCAAAAATAGATTTTCATTTAGTATTAATTCTTTAAAACATTTATTCAGCATTTTTTTACTTTAGAAAGTTACATGGTTGAAATGAATAATATAAAAACCGATGGGAAGTTCTCATATGTTTATTCTGAAAATGTAATTTGTGGACGAATGAATGGGTGAATGAATATGAATGAATGTGAGGGGGTGAGGGGAGGGAGTGTGGGAGGGAGGCTTTTGGGTTGGTATATTATCTCTGTAAATGCATCCTGTGTTGTCATTTATGTTGATTTACTGTAATAATAATAAAAAAATAAAATTACCTGCATATTCCACAATACATCAGGTCTGTTTAAATTATTAAATAAAATAAAAGATACTCTAATTTTGCTGTGGTCACAAATACAGTGTATAATCACCGAATAGATAGTATTCAAAACAACTTTATTTTGTAAATGAAGCCTGACATGTTCCAAAGTGGTGTTACAGACAGGTGGCTGGAAGACTCACAAAGCTTAGATTAGCTGCAGAGTTCACATAGCTGACTTTTATCTGCCAGTTTTCTGACAGCCCATTCAAAACAGAAGTCAAAATATTGGCTCAAAGAATTCCCAGAGATCTGTGCTCATCTCTCTTGGTGCTTAATTTGCTAAACTCAGCTCTGGTGCTGTTTGGATTGTATCAGATACAGAAGGCTCATTGTGTGCCCCCAGGAAGTGCTAATTACTTTGATAAGGGTAAATTATTTTTTCCACTATTTATTAAAGTCATACAGTCTGTCAAATGAGCCAGTTCCTTGTATCTCCCACTGTAAATTATTAGCTTTAAATCCTCTTAAAGTTTCTTGTAATCATTAATTACTGCACACATTTATGTCCTATTTCAATCATTCAATAACACAATAATTTATTTTTCCTAATTTAAAACAAAGCAAATACCTTCCTCGACTAAATATTTTCTTTAGGTTCAATTTTGTCTTTTTTTCTTGACATTGATACAGTGGCAGTAGCTCAGTTTTCTCTTTTATTTTATGATAAATAAAAGGACAATGTTAATTGTTTTACAGTAGGGTTAAAAGAGTGAACATTGCATAGAAAGTGCATTTTTTCATTAGCTTGCTCATTATTTTTCTGTTTTTTTTTCTTCCTTTTATTTGTATAGGAATTACGATAGCACCTGATTGCAGTCTTTAAAAATGTCACAGGCCCATTTTAAAAAGCTGTTCTTGATGCGGTAGGATATTAGCCCTAAACAAAATGCCCAGACGAGTAATCAAGTAAACAAATAAATATGCTGCTCAAAGGAAAGTTTTTTTAAGCAAGATAATTTTTGAAAAATAATGTGAAAGTGAAAACATTTTCTTGCTTACATTAAAATAAATATATCAGCTTTGAGACAAGTTAAGGCAAAGAGGTATGCTCCCATTTCTTTCAATTGTGTCTCACGTTGGGAATTTCTGAAAGACTGCATGCAAGTTTTTGGCATCCCCTAGAGATGTTTCTTCCATATATAACCTTAAAGGCCACTATGTTTTTGATAGAAATAGGCAAATCTGTGATGATTGGTTGAGGATTCCCGCTGCATGGATGAGGATGCACAGAATGCAGTTTGATCGAAAAAAGAAACAAAACAACAAAGTGGCCATCTGCTCATTAGGGACAGTATAAAGCTGATACAGGAAACAAAATTCCCTTTTTCTGACACTATAGTTGTGTGCAGTCATATTCAATGTGCTTGTTTTCTTATTATCATTCAGTCAATTTACTTGCTGAAATATATTTTATAGATTAATTACACTGAAATTTATGTTTTCGAGCCTTTGGTCTCGTTAATTATGATCATTTTGTGCTTGAAAGAAATAAAGCAATGGTTTTGCTGCTGAGCCTGAATATGCTGTTGGATATACAGTAACTCATTCAAAACTCAAAAAGTATAAGACAGCGGAATTACTGCCACCCATTGCTTTTCTACAGCTGCAGACCACAACTGGGACCAGATGCAGGCTGTTTGAAATATACTGTTGATCGAGGAGTCGCAGTGATCAACAGGATCGGTAAGTCTTCCCGCTGTTTTGGCATCAAAAAGTTTGGACTAATAATGCGCCTTTCTGAAGTGCTTCTTGATCTCCAAAATCTGAAAAATTATGGATTAAGCCTAACAAGAGATGTGCAATTTATTTAGATAATAAATCAATATTACAGCACAATATTACCGATATATATTGTGGTATATCTCATCAATCACCTAATAAATCCAACTCATTCAGTTTGTAAGATTTCAGTTGATGTCTTTCTTAGCAAATCTGAGATATTTAAACTGATGGCTCTCGTTCACATTGTAAGTTACCAAGCACTTGCGCCTCAGCTAACTGCCACAGTAAGTTGTATAATTAGCAGTTGATCATTTCAGACACAAACCCTACTTAAAATCCTTACTACACCCTATTATTTTATCAGCTTACGCATATTAAACTTTTTCTAACAAATGCATAAATGCTGGATCACTAACCTTTAGATAATTAAAAGAAACTTAAAAAGAAACGTTTTACTTTACTTAAGCAGTTTTTTTATTGCCTAATTTTTTTTAAAGTGATTTCATCTGTAATTAGATCTTTTTACCAGCAAACTCAAAGCCCCTGCCAGCATTAAAGGGTTGATGTAAATAGTTTACTTGCAAATCCTCGATGAAAAATGGCGGCAGAAATCAGTAGGGTGCTTTAACATGTTCAAACCAAAGCACGCTCTAATGAGCCTCCCAGAGGTCTGTTTGCAGAGCAGCTTTTGCATAGAAATATGAGTATTGCAACATGCTGAGCATACAAATGAAGAAATGCTGGGGGAGTGGCCAAAAAAGTGAAAACTTTGTCTTTCTGCAACTATTGTGAATTTGAACTCTTTATCGCCTCCTTCTAGTTCTATAAAGGCTGAGCGGTCAATTTTCAAAAGATCTGGAGTGGAGTATCACAGGAAGCAGCAGTTTCTTCTTTATGATGTAAGCTCTAACCTGAAAGCAATACTGCGTTATATTGATGTACTGTGCAAGCATAGATCATGTGTCACTGCTTCTTTGCAGACGTTTTCTTTTTCACATCCCGAGCCAATGAGGAGTGAGCTGTTCGGCGGGAAAGTGAGCAGTCACTCAAAGCCACTCTTGCAGAGTAATACCAAGAGGAAAAAGTTGGAATCCTATGAGGCTGAGATTATAAATCATCTGATTTATGGTGACAGTGCAGAGGGGGAAAACGCTAAACAAAAGCTCACGCTGAGGTGGTGCTGAGGAAAGCTGGCTTTATAATGTATTTGAAGACACAGCTGTGGAGCGACAGTATCTACACACCAAAAACTATAGATGATACATCTTGCTTCACACTGAACCCACATAGCAGTATTGTTTACTACCTGATAACCCAATTACTTCCATTGCAGCGACTCAGATAGAGATCACTGTCAGCACAAACACACTTAGGATGATAATCTACCTTGCTCGTAAACAACTGCAAACAGACAAGGTAATTAGAATCAGATGAGGAGGGTTGTTGCAGTTGTCGGCAGTGAAAGTAGCTGCCCTGTTGGAGGTCCAGCTGCTTCTGCACCCTTGGTTACCCTGCCTCCTGATCCTGCTCCAGAAATGTTTTTCTACACTGTTGTTTTGGACATGACCCTTGACCCACTAAGTTGATTAAAGGTGACCATTTTGTCATCTTTTACCAGATAAAGAGAAACCTCCCTCCAGGTTAAAACATGTGCTTTAATAGAGGAAACTACAGATGGCCCATGTGGAGGCTTGGTGTACAATGAAGTCACATGCAGCAATAGAAATGATTGATGCAATATTCCTTTTTCATTGCACTCAGTTGGAGCTGTTTTAAGAGCTGTGTCAAACAGCTGCATGTTGCTGCTCATCAGTTTGCTCTGACCCCACAGAGCCCTTGGGGATTAGCTACAGTAGAGGTGATATGTACTGTACAATAATAGAGGCTGGAAGATTTTCATCCCCCACAAGAGCCTTACGCAAGGTTATGTTTAAGCCCTTTGTGCACCTTGTCCTCCTTATCCCACTCCGCCGCCTGCCACTGCTTTGT